AACTTTTTTTTTTAAATATTTATAATTTATGAGATGTAAATATTAAAAACATCTTATTTTGTTAAGTTCACTTTACTTTCGTACTTAAAACAATTTAGTCAGGGTTTCGTTGAAATTTATTAGGTAGAAACATAGTTAACTCATTTTTTAACTAATTACGCTGTTTTCATTTTTATTAAATACGTATATTAAAATAGCATACATATTAACGCTAATGTTATTATATTATATAATTGATCTATTTGAGAATTAAGCAATAATTTAGTACTGGCAATGATAATTTTATTTTATTGTCGTTATATATTAAATTTAATTGTTTTTGGAATTCTTTTGTCAGATAAAAGAAAATGAATTGAATTACTTATAACCATTTCAGTTACTTATTTTTATTTATACTACAAAATTAAATCATTAGCAGTTTTAAATTTTGAGTGAAATGATATAATAAATATACTAATTTTACAATAATATGAAATGTTCATTTCTTTTCCGTATATCATAACTTTGAAGATGTAAAAATTCTTTGATTTTCTACCTACTTTAAGGATGGTTGGGTGATATTTAGTAAAAAATTTGATTTAGTTACTTTGAAGAGATTGAAAATTATAAATTCCAAATCATTTTCAAACAACTGATAAAAACATAAAAATGAATTTCTACACAAAACCAGTTTTATTATACTAAAAAATGAATAACTGTAATGACTTGAAATAATCACAGGATATTTATATTTAAATTTAGTAAATACTATAAATTAAATCATTTTCATAATATTTTAGCTCTTTTTATCTTACGTGTAAGTATTTTAATTTCATCAAAAAATGTTTGTGTTACTTTAAAAAATATTAGATATTATCATAGAAACTTAAAATAATGCACTATATTTTTAACTATCATTTTCTATATTCAATGAAATATTAAAAAAATAAACTTGTTTTAAGCTATTTAAAAGCATTTTAAATTTTAAGTTTAAGTTTTTTTTGGTGTTAATAAAAATATTGAGACTCAATAAAAAAGCTTAAAAATCTAATACAAAAACAAATAAGTTTTTCTTATACCTAACTAGAAAAAAATATTTTTGATACATATTTACAATTTTTTTTTTTTTACATCCTTACATTTTGATGAAATTAAGTTATTTAATCAATGAATGATCATTTTTAGTTATTTTATTGTTATTAAAAAATATTTTACTTGAAACGTTTAGGTACCGTATTTTATTATATTTTACTATACACAGCGATATTTTCAAAATATTTGAGTTAATTTTAAAAATGTAAGTTATTGTAAACTATATCAAGAACCTAATCACACTATAGTCGGTATTGACTCAAAAGTTGATATTTTATTTAAATATACACTTTAATTAATAATAATTTTTAATTGATAATATAATAAGCATAAAGTTTTTGGGAAAATGTAATTTAACCTAGGTACCAAATTACTAATAGTAAAATAAATTGCAATAATAACAATTTAATTATGTAACATAGTATCTTTAAAAGTATGCATGATAGATCATCTCCGCTCAAAATCGTTTTTCGTATACAATAATTTATCATTCAAATTCAATTTTAACATATTCATTATAGTAACTTATACTCAATGACAAGTTACAGTCAACGCCTACCGTACAGTAGAACAGTTACCTACATTTAACCTTTTATTTTTAATTTATAGAAATAAAAATTCATTCATTAAAAAAAAAACTTAATCAATAATTTATGCAATAATTTAACTTGTTTTTTATAAAAATAGAATTTGATTAAAAAATCTATAATATTCAGCACAAAATGTTTCAACATTTATACCAAAATATATTTTACAATATATAAATAATAATAAATTTAACTAAATATGAATGAAAAATACAAGTATCTATAATAATCTACAGTCTATTATTTTATTAAAAATGTATAAGTTAAGTTTATATATTATTTTACGATATTTAATCTATTTGTCTAATAATACGATAATTATAAAAAAAATAATGTTTAATCAGTTGCAATTATCTGACAGTATCCCGATTAATTTTTTTTATGGGATCATCGAGATTTTTATAAATTCTTAGAACTGGTTTATTTACAAGACTTTTACAACAATTTCCCTAAACTATAATGTTTGTATTCCAATAATCTTATATAAACACAATATAAACGTACCTATAGTTACAATTCTAAAATTATAAAACTCTTAAAAAAAAGGTAACAAGATAAATACTATATAGATAGAATATTTTAAGTATCAAACTTCAGATAAATATATTTATGTATTTAAATTTTTAAATAAATATAGATAACGTAAAATTGTCATGTAAATTTAATGACAAAGTTTGAAAAGTCCGTTTATTAGACATATGACAGTATACAAATAAGTATATAATATTGTTTATTTTACTAGTACAGATATTTGAGTTTAGATTTAATTATTAATTATTTATATTCTTCAGAACCAATAAAGCATATAATTTGATATTATTTTATTAATTTTGATGGTCAGAGATTAAAATTTAAGAAAAAGTTAACTTTACTGACTACTATACCTACACAAGTTATCTATTACACGTGGTATTAAATTCCTAAATCCTAAAATTAATTTATTAATTATTGTTTGAATATTTTTCGTAAACATAACATTAATAATATAATTATGTAATATTATAACGTCTTTAATTAAAATTTATTTTATTTTTTTTAGCTTTTAAGTAAGATTACAGAATCGTAGTACCTACATGCCAACATTTTTTTTTAATTGAAAAAATTTTAATTTTAATTTTAAAAAATGTCTTGCTTTATAGAATTTTTATGATAAATAATTATTAAACAGTATCATCTGTACCCGGACACAATTTTTGTACTTCACTTTTTTTTCAGAGAAATTTGTTTTACTTTATATCACCCATACTCTGAAATCTTAATAATTCTTCTACGAAAAAGAGATATATGTATTTATTTCGTTTTACAATAAACAAAAAGTATTATATTTCAATAATATAAACTTGACATTTTCATAGATATGGTGTCATGTTGAGTTTGGGGTATACAATTAAGCAATTGACAGAAGGATTTATTTCAACTGCGTTTGGCTTTCTGTGTTGAGCCCAAGGCCGTATCTATCGAAGTCCATAGGATGCAAAACCCTTAAGCGAAAAGTGGGTTTCATCTCCAAAATTGTTTTAATCATTATAAAAATATAAGATTATCATTTATTTTCTAAATAAGAAACATTTTAAGGCACATATCAAATCATGACTTATAAGTATTATAACCAATAATACATAGCAATTGTCATAAAATATAACAATTATATTATACACGTCTATATGTATAATATAATAAAAATGAAATATATAGACTAAATTATAGCACTTATCAGACCTACTAAAAAAAAAAATTAAACACAGTCTTCATTAAATTCAACTATAGTATTTTTTCAAGTATCAGATAATGAACACACAATTTTTACAAAATTTAATGAAGTATTGCTAAAATATTACCAATACTTATGCAGATCATTTTTTTAATAAGTGTCATGTTTTTAATTAGTTGTGAAAATATTTGTCAATAATGTATTTTCAAACACATACTTACTTTCAGAAGATATGAATAGATATAAAAACAAAAAAATCTTTTAAAACAATTTAAAATGATTCAAACCATAATAATACAATAATCGAAAAACGAAAATTAAAATTAAAATTTATAAAACGTTTATCAAATTGAAAAAAAAAAGTTTAATTTCACTAAAAATATTAAAATCTTAACGTTTGCTTCGTAAATTCTCGCGTTATGAATAATATAAATCGTTATACCAATTTAAATAGAAGTACTTAGACTTCAAATACAAAACAATATAAATGGGAATACGGATGAGTAGCTGTAAAATGATCATTTTCAACGTTCCGTTTTATTTTCAAAATATTAAAAGTCTAAACTTAAATGTATATTTTACTTAATATTTAGTTCGTTGAGTACTTATACTTATATATAGGTATGTATATATGTATTATAGAGTACAAAGCTTTGTCTTGCGAAACCCCTTTGCTTATCCTTTCCTCAACCGTTCTGCAGCATCACATATACATTTTTCTTGAAACATTTACTGTCCATAAAATTTTTATGGTCCTAAGTGCATATAATGTATTACGAAATATTAAAATATTAGATGATTATCGCTATAAAGATAATTAAAAATATACGTTCACGACAGATCTGCACAATATACTGAACACAGTCGCTTCACACTATACACTTATAATATTTCCTAATGGAATTTAAAATTTAAAACGCGACGATTTGTGCTGAAAACTTTTTCTTGACATTAAAGCGCATTGTCAGCAAAACTGTTTTTTACGAACAATAAAAATACTCCCTACATTTTCTGCAGTAAAACAATTTCAAGTCGTTTATAACCAACATTATTTTCACATAATATGTTCATATGTAAATATTATTTGAGTTCATACATTTTTTGTATTTCTCAATTACTGTAAGTATTGTTTACTAATTATTATTATACATACCAACTAACGTATCAAAAAAAATGATGATCTCCCTCCTTTATTATTCATTTCCCTGTCTCTCAACTGTCTAACACAAAACGCAAGTTTTATATGTTAATATAGTACCTAGGTAACAATAAAATAAAAATATGTATAATACTTATATATTGTATACTAATATACTTGATACCCGGTATTACTGTAATAATTCGTTTGAAATGTTTAATGGATATAATATAATAATAAACATTAAAAATTACTTTTAATAGCGTTTGACATATTTTCTAATGCATAATAAATAAACTACTTTTACGTGCGAAATTTCCACCTGCTCTCATGGACGACTTGAGACGGCCCGAATTTCCTTGAAACGCTTCTTCGCAATGGCAGGTGTGAATGGACAAGAAATAAATCAATCGACAGGATCTCATTAAAAAACCTTAACGTCGAATTTTCTTTTAACGACAGTCATTAGTTCCTCGGTAGATGCGATCCGCGGTCGGTCATCGTGTTAATATAATAACATGTCGCAGCTCAAAATATCCTTTGCATTATTAACAATGACGTTAATCATCTGCAAAAGTTCACAATCATCAATGTTTGACCAGTGTGATACTCGTCACACAAACCTAACCCAAGAATGTGTGGGAAAATTGATATTAAACACTCTGGTTAAAGTCAGTGAAGATCCAGAGAATTTCATCAGATTAAATGTAAGTGTATAACATAATATTATATACCTCAATAAATTTAATATAGAATGACTTTATGTAATATACAAAAACTGTTTTCTAAGTGAAATAATATGTCTATAATTCATGTCAAAATCCTAATATAAAATGCATGTAAAAAAAATGTGCGTATATGTTTTTAATATTTGTATACAGATATAAGATAGTTGTTGGTTCTTGTATTCAATGTTTAAGAATTTTGACTTAGTAAATAATTTTTACCGATATTTATAAAAAATTAACTGAAAAAATTTTTAATTTCTCATGTCTATAAATAACTCAAAAAGAGTTAAAAAAATTTAAAAATTGTATTTTATTAAAATAATAATGTAGACAACATTTGGTAGACATTTTCAAATACCTATTGTTATTTTATTTTGAAGTACAAAGAATATCATAAATTATTTGAGGGGATATAATTATTTTACGAGTAAATATCGAATGTCGTAAAAATTAGAACTCAAAATGCTCATAAAAAATTAATTTAGCTTTCCAATACATTTTTTTTCATGTACCTATAGCTTAAAAACTAATAAAAAAAAAAAAAAAACATTTTATTAAAATTTTAAATCTTGGGTATAAAAACAAAAAATTTTTTACAAAATAGTTTACTAATTTATGCAATTTTTATAAATTTTGTAAAATTCTAACTTAAAACGCTTTTAAAAAAATATTGTAACTATTAGTTAATCAATATTTTTAATTGAAAAATTAACAACTTATGAGGAGCCTTGTATTATATTTTCAAGAATTTTAATTGACATTTATAAAAAAAAAAAAACGAAAAAAAAATTTTTAATGCCTATAAAAAGCTTAAAAATAGTCAAAATTTAAAAAAAAATATCATAAATAAAAAACAATAATATAAAGTTTTAGTTAAAAATTTCAATATCTAAGCTTATTTATTTATTTATTTTTTGAGTCGCATCAAAAAAACAAAATTTATTTCATCAAAAATTCGATTTGCGTAGAAATTCCTGTTTTTTCTTAATTTTTTGTTTATTTTTCTCAATTATAAAAATAATTACTAGAAATTTTTAAGTCTCTATTTCTCCAATATGCAAACTCGATTCAACTCAATATCCAAAACCTCTCCCATTTTCAAAAATTAAAGTATTTTATCAACAACTTATCATGTAGGTAACTCATTTACAAAAAAAAACACATTATAATAAAATCAAAATATACATTGCTCCTCTCAGAATCTAAAAAACAATAAATACAGAAAATTTAAATTAAGTACATTCTTCTTATCATATTTTATTTTTACAAAACAAATTTTTAGTTTGTTTTTTACTTATCATAGTGTTTTACATGTTTAAAGCATTCAATATCTCTAATTTTGTATTCTTCGGCAGATCACCTTAACAAAAATGTCCAATATCCATAAATAAATAATTTCTTATTTATAAACATTTTAATTATAAATGTATGATGAAATGAAAAATAAAGTGTCTAACAAACCTGACAAAATAAAGGTACCTACACACATATTACAACGCTATGGCGACTATCGTCTAAACTTACGAGTAAATAACAAATTATCGTTTCAATATTCAAAATTATTATACAAACTTTTCACATATATTAAAAAAAGGTTCTAATTTTAAAAAGTAAAAAAAAAATCTAAATAAATATTTTTTAACAAAAATCTAGTGTTAACTTTATTGGTATATTTACGAGTTAAAATCCAATTACAAAATGATACACATATAGAAGTACCTACCTATTAATATAAAACAATAATATTTAGTAGATATGTACTTAACTGTAAACTGTATACACCTATATCATATTAAATATTGAACAATTAATTGGAACTAATATTAAAATCAAAACCCTCTATCACTACATCATTTATCATTAGCAATGGATATTATTCTATTTATAGGACGAGCGCATAATTTGATTCTTGAGTATTGATATAGAATGTACAATATTGTGAATTTATTAAACTATTTTGTAATTTAAATTCCACGCATAAAAATTTTTTAAACCTAAAAATTAACTAAGATATCGATTGATGTGAATTTTAATTATTTTTAAAGTATTTAATGCATGCGATTATGATGTTTAATTAATTTGAATTTAAATATTAAATTACACATCGTCTGATAAGTAAAACTTCTTTTTTACATATTTTTAAATAAATTCTTTTCTTATAGACATATTAAAACGATGATAAGTATATATTGTTTTATTCTATAGCAATTGAATGACGACAGTGGAACGACTATGCGATTTATCAAGCTGAAATTCGATAACGATACAATAAACATAGATCAACGCTACGAAATTGACGAAAGTAGATCGTGGAATACAGGAAACTTTTGGGATCAATTGATTTACGCATTCAAAAAATTGACCAATTACAGTAACGATCACGGAATTTTGTTGTCCCTCCCACAATGGTCAAAAAGATTTCCACCTATCACGGTCGTTGACGAGAATGACGTTCTACAAGTAGTCAATGAAAGTGAGTATAAATACATATTATATGATATAACTTATTGATGAATAAAAACAATCATTAAAATTAACATTTTATAGAACCTTTAAAAATATAATAAAAACCATTTGAATATTAGTCTTTTTATAAGTAATAAAAATCAAATAACACGTTTACAAACCACAAATTTTGATTTTTAATATTTTTTTTTACTTTTATTGGATTCATTCAAAATAACTAAACAATATCTACCTTATAATATTTCCATCTAAAAACAAGTACTAAGGAATATATAATTTTTATACATTCAGTGGTTTATACGCATGGTTAAGCATGTGATTTCTAACCCAATTGCTTAACCAGATGTGTAATATGTTTTACTATTTTACTGTAATATTAAATAGTAAAATTTATGCAAAATCATAGTAAATTTACAAATTTAATTGGTATAATTTCAGTAAAATGAACATGATATACGTGGGACAATAGAAAGTACCTACAATTTATTTTATAAAAATTTTAAAATGTCTTGGATAGTTTAAACGCTATAACTAAGACTATTATTTCAACATAAGTTAATTGACTCAAGTTTAAGAAAAACACAAGAAAAAATTAAAACATATAGATACAATGAATCATAACTACATCAAACAGTATCATTTTAAAAACTATCCAATATCGTATTAAAATCGTTCTAGATAATTATACCTAAATGTATATCATATTATAGAAACATACACCTACCTAAAATATTACAAAATAGATACCTATATAAATAAACAATGTATATCAGATTTATCTACCTAGCCTTAACAAAAATATTTGTTTCCCAACGTACAGTTATTGATTTTAATGTATTTTTATAATTTCATTTATAAATTCAAAAAAAAAAATTTAAGTTTCAAATGAAATCGAAATTTACAGTGAACTAATTGAATTTTTTATAAAATAACGACAATTTAAAAATCAGAACGAAATAATGTATATAGGTATTAGGTACTATAATTGTATTAAAATTATTTTATTTTTATAAATTTATCATTTGAACTATCAATTACTCATGTATTTCATAACTCAATATAAATCAGATAATACAAAACAAATCTAAATATAATAATGCAATAAATAACTGTATTATATATTATAATATATTAATTGTTTTATAGAATACCTATAATCATCAAATAGAATTATCATTTTGAAGAATTCTGGCTTACAAAGTTCAAAACCCTACTTTATTCTGAGAAAATATTCACGACTTAATTTTCAACAGAATATAATATCTACTTTTACTTAAAAGACAAAACAAAATATAAAGCCAAAATCCTTAAAATTACCATACTACCTCCTTAACTTTTGACAAGGTGTTATAATATGTATAATATGCATGCAAAAACTCAGTAGTTGTGAAATAAAAATTACAAAAAAATATTTGATTATGATTAAGTCACTTTTTAAGAAGTGTTAGAGAATTTATAAGTCAAGAAAAGTTTAAATGTTCAGTCTACTTATTATAGTTAATTTTATATTATTAAGGTTGGAAAGTTATTAATAAATTATAAAATAGACAATTTTAATAATAAAGTTTTTGTCACTCTTTGTGTTTTGTCCTCGGCAGATTCGAGTTATTGAAATTCCATTGTAGTTTGATTTGTTTACACAATAAAAAAATTATTACTATTAAATATTAAAAATACTAATCGCTTCACGTATAGATCGACGATTATGAAGTTCGCTATGGAGAAACACTGATTAATCATTTATTATATTCTTAATTTTACCACATCGCTCTTCAAATAATTTTGTATAATAATATTAGGTACTCAACGATCAGTGCCTAAATATTATGAACTATATGTTGCTTGTTTTGCTAGTTGATATTTCATACTTACTCCTACCCAATACCCATTTTACATGTATCAAAAAAAAATCGAATTAGCGCGTGGAGAGCATAATATATTTTTCATTTTAAAATAAAAATTTATCTCGTATAATCTACACATAAAACTTTACACGCGACGATATATTTATAGAATATATAGTAATATTGTATAAATAATCATAATTTAATAAAACGTATAGGCGGCACAATAGGTTTCCTTCGTTGTTGCAAAAAATACATTCACATAGTGTAAGGTACACCGCGAGAATTAATTTTATTTTACTGATTATACTCGTATACAGCCTATACAGGTATTGATAATATTAAAACTACTTCAATCCAAGTAAAATATGTTATACATTATTTCACATGAAAACATTAATAAAATCTAAAACAATAAATATGATTATATTCTACATACATGCACGAACGTTACTCCAACAAAAAAAAGAATAATAAGCAAAAGATTATCAAGCGTTTTAATTGTTCACGAGATTTTTTTTTTTAATTTGTACCGATTTATGACTGCATTAAACTAAAATATATTTTAAAATAAAACATGTAATTACAACATAATATTGTTGTTAATATGGTGATAAACGCTGTATAATTAAAATAATTTATTCTCTCTTAACGTTAAATTTGTAGGCGTTAGTTTTAACGTTATAAAATATAAACGTACATAATACAAAAAAGATATTCTATTACCTACCTACTTATTTTATCAATAAAATTAACGCTCTAAAAACTGTGATCATAATATAGACATAATACACACACAAGATGGATTCTCATTGATTAACCACAAAATTATGATTATAATAATAATTTACCTACCTACTTAACAGGTGTTATGATGAAAACTTAATTTTGATGTGCACACAAAAACTAGAAAACATGTTTTATCATAAACTTTATGGGATTGTTCTACTTGTTCTAGTATTTACTATTAACTATTACCTATAACTTATAAGTATTAAGTATTTCCGTTAAAAAGCATAAACAAAACATGAATACTATTTGATTGCTTATTTTATCAGTTAGTTGATTATTTTTTCATTTAATGATCAAATAAAACACAATCGATAAGTGTTTCATGCCATCAAAATCAATCAATTATTCATTTATAAGGTGACATCATTATGAATTTTTAAAAAAAATAACAATAGCTAGGTATAGTATCTACCTTCAATTTATAATTGTTGCTATGTATGCCGTAATTATTTTCATTTAAAAATTAAATACATTTTACTTACAGATATTTTCTTTCAAAAAAATTGATATTCGAAGTAAGTTTTCAAAACTTTTCATTAATTATTCAAATAAACAGTTTTATCCCTTCTACTTTGTACAAAAACAAATTATAAAAGATAAGTTATAAATAAATCCAACCTAACCACAACTATTGTAATATAACAAAGTATTTTAAATGACGGGTATAATCCTATGCAAATCGTAATAATGTCATTTTTAAAGCACTTTTAAAAAACTAAATATTAGTATCATCCATAAATAAACTAATAATTATTATTTCTATTTCATATATATACCTACGTATCAAACAGGATGGATATTTTGAAAAAAAAAAACACTAGACTGTGACTTCGGTGTAAAAATCATGTGGTTACTAACCACTGATTAGTGCCATTTATAAATATGGATAGGTAGGTACAAACTACACCGAAGTCGACAAAACTAACGATGTGGTATCCCATAATATATTGCGAGTTCGATAAAAAACGTTGAACAAAAAAAAAATAAAAATAAAATAAACACGTAATATATACACGACTCACTACAATAATAGAACAAAAAAGCAAACTGTTTCGTACGTGCGTAAATCTTGTTTCGGCTGAATCATTACTAAGTGAAATGTTAAAAATGTTTCACGATTTATAATATACCTAAAATATATTATTATACATGTATACTAGCTCCAAAAACGATTACAATAAGACGACTAGTTTTCAAATTTATACCTGTTATATGACTTAAATGTAGCAATATTATCTACACTGAACGAAAAATACCGGTAATTTTAACAAAAATATAGATCAAACTAATATCATTGTTAATATTGGGTCAACAAAATATTCATTGACACTAAGATGAGATATTTGTTAAAATAAAAATTAACAAATTATTAGATTTAATATTTATTTTTTGTTTAGTTTAACCAATATATTTAATCGAAATTTTGTTAATTTTATCAAATACATTATTAATTTAACGTATATATTTTCTATATATTTATATTATATATAATATATCGTAAAATTTACAAAAATAAAAATATTTTAACAAAATGATTATTGTGATTATTGTTGAATGTAACTAAAAAATTGAAATAAAAATGAAAAAAATCTGAACGCAATGTTATTCTAAGCGCCGCCCGAACTCCCTACAGAGCGGGATTCGTTCTTGCTATAGGACATCTCACGGAAACATCGATCTCTTATTAATTTAATAATGTTAAGTTGTATGTTTAACACAGCTATAATTTACTTTAAAATGGAAATATCAATAAAAGCCTACGAGATTCTCGTGTTGACTGCTTTTGAAAATATACTTTTAAACACTTAAAAGTTAAAACACATAATTATTAACACATACACGCGCGCGCGCAAATATTTGGCATTAGACAGAGCGCCGCAAACACAAAGATTGCCATTGTGGTGCGACTTAGATTTAGTTTTTTTTTTTCACAGTGGTTTACCTAATTACAGGTCGAAGCAAGCATCCGCATAAGAAGTACGCTCTGCTGTTTCCACTGCTAGCCACGTTCAAGTTCCTGGTGATCAAAGCGCTGCTAGTGCCCATTCTGATGGCTGTTATGATCATCAAGAAGATGCTGGTGCTCGGCGTCATGGCTCTACCCACCCTGTTGACAATGTTGCGGTTCTGCCGGAACCCCAACTTTGGGGGCTTTGGGTTCGGCGCCGGTAACTTGGTAGCTACGGGCGCTGTCGGCCCGGTGGGCCAGGCAGCCGCGTTTGCGCCGCTCACCGCCGACATATCAGGCGACTACTCGTCGTACGTGCAACAATCGGCCGCCGCGTCCCAGCAAAACAATGCCTACAAGGACTACTCTAAGAATTTAATGGACGCCGTGAAGACTTACCAACGGCGGTGAAGTCCTCGACGCGTAGTCCTATACAATCGGATCACGGTTGACATTGTCGTCATTGCGTATCGTTTATAATACGAGCACTGTACCCCCCCCTACCCAGCCACAACCACAACAGCGACATTTATAATATCCGACTACCCATTACTCGCATTATGTTATAAATACCTCATATTGTTACAGTAGACAGTAGACACTAACGACACCGTTCAACACGCATATGACAAAACGCATTATCCAACTGACATTTTGTGTCCTGGAAACGCATTCTAAAACATACATTATATTTTTCTTCCAAAATAACCACCAACTTCCAAGTAATTTCCTAAGCTAATGACGATTTATTTTTCGTATTTCCACTCATTTTCAAAAATCATGCGACAGTTAAACGTTAGTATATATACCACTTTGAGCTAATTAAGATTCAAAAACTCACTCTTTGACTCAATGGTGGCCGATGGGGTATTCTCAAAATAACCCTATTTCTTATTTATCTCAGTTTTGATATTGTTTCATTATCATACGTTATAACTTATAAGTTATAACCACAGGTAAATGTTGTAAATTTCTGAGTATTATACTTTGACTTCATTTCATTTTTTTTTCTAAGTATAGTTTACATTAAAAAAAACAAGTAGTTATACGTCCTAATAAAACTACTATGGCTTGATTTACCTACTTAAATGAGTAAAATAACTACGCAATAGCCATAGGTATCTAACTTGATAAACGATTAGTAATGATATCAGTTTAGAGCACAATATCGAATTATCAGATTCTTTTTTTCCAAATTTATATATGCTTTCAAACACATCAAAGTTAGTGAAACCCGTTCACATGAACATTTTACTTAATTAATCGTTTTATATAATAATATTAATAAGTATTAATAGGCTACTACGTACACGTTTATAAATCATTAAATATTTTATTCGTATTTTTGGGTGGTACATTTGTTTTTTTATTTATGATTATTTCATTAGTCTTAAACAATAATGTATTGGTAGTGGACAATAATACTGTTTTTCCGTCATTCTCCTGACGAAGTATACAACAACAGCTTTAAAATGTGTTGTTCTATCGTTTAAAATAATTGTGTTATTCGTTTTTTTGTTTATAAAGTAAAGTTTTATAAAGACCAATCATCAATCCCCACTTTGCACCTATACATAAGTAATACGTATAGGTTTCCAGCTGCATTCAAACCTAGGCATTAATAAGTGGGCAAGCCGTTTGGTATGTTAAAAGGCACACCACGTTTTGATTTATTCCTAAAACTAGAACCTAGATATAGTTGATAATATGTTTTACATTAAAAGTTTAATTATAATTTATAGAATATCATATTATATATTATACCGTTACAAATCTATTTATTTTTTCAATACTTAGATAATATATTACTATTAGGTATTTATTATATATACTTTCATAGCTATTCAATTACGATGTATGTAATTAAGAATCTTAATATTATTTTTCAGCACTACATATTATAATAATATAACAAATATAACAAGATATTATTTATGTATTGGTTTTTAAGTGATTATTTATTACCTTATTATATTTACATAAATATATAACTGTTTATAAACAATTGATATACGGCTGCTCTATGCTCTATACTTCTCTGTTTTTTCTTAACCATTATATAAATAGGTCGAAAATTCTGAATATAACAAAATAAATTAATAAATTGACATTATATAAGTGGTACTCGATAAAATATAGTTGGACACTTTGATGCTTACAACTTACAGAACAGTATCCAGTATATTTTTTGCAGTTTTAGTTTCAATATTAAGTTACAGAATAAAGTTATTCTATTTGATGTATGACTGTACAAGAAACCTACGTTCTTTTCGTGAAAACAATAAAAATTCTTGAATTGTTTACAAAGTTCAAACTTTATTTTTAAAAAAATGTTACCTACATGTGTTTATTACACATGACCACACACAAATTGTGTAGGTAGTACAAATATAAGTTAAATGTCTATATTTTTTCTCCTTGTTACTATACAAAGCATATGCAAAATATATAAAAAGTAGACGACTATTTGTGTACAGCGAAAAATATATTATAAAAATAATAATAATATAATATAACATTAAATAATATTTTTATAATATAAAAGGTAAGAACTTACATTTAAACCGACTTTGTGTGATGCTGAGTCATTCTAATTAACGAAAGGAACAGCATTTTTTTCGGCTAGTACTATTAGTACAAACAATGTTTTCAATCGGTTGGTAGTAAGTCCATTTTAAAAACAAGTCAAAATTGAAACTTACGCTGTGTAATACTGAAGTCTTAACGTGTACATATTAACCAAGGCTAATACGTAATTTCGAAAATAACTTTAACATGGACGAGATGCTACGGGTGTATGAAAATAATACAACTGGATTGTTACTGACAGTATACATTTGAATTGCGATTTGTAAGACTATATAGGTACATACCCAGAGTCTATTTTTCTACAGTGAAAGTTCAGTATTCACGGTTTTACAATTTGTCATATACTTTGCAAAACTTACCGTATACATGTATAATCATAACGCATGTATGTGTGTAATAGATGATACAAGATTACTCGGGTCTATACCCTTAAAATCGTCACTTATAGCCAATCGTACCCTAGCCATTTATTGCAAACGTTAAAATAAATTACTGGAGCATGTATTTATTTATATAAGTAGTTAGATAATATATATGGTAACGAAGTAGGTTTATTACAATCAAGTTACATATATTACTTCTTGACGCCAATATGATCAAGGCAACAAGGCAAGTGATTCTATCTCACCAATCATAAACATAATAGGTATATCTACTTAGGGGCGGATTTGATAATTTGCCGCTCTTATGCCGAATGAAATTCACTTCCCCTATTCTAAAAAAATTACTTTTATATTACTAAATGTCCTTAAATAAATTCATAAACAATAACTTTTTTCTTCAAGTTTAATTTAAAAATAAAACATTCCGATTCAAATATAATACCTGTTATTTATTTTTATAAAGCAAAAATGTATAAAAGAAAAACAATCAATCATTTACACGTACGTATACTTATGAGCGAACTGACAACTATCAACTAACTCAATTATAAATGGAAAAACCTTAGAATCGAATAAACGGAGTAATAATACAGTATACTAAGTGCCACGTGATGAACTCGTACCGACCATGATCACCATAAAACGAATGTTTAAATAGCGTTAAGTGTATTATATTTATATTCTATAAGCAATTAGATAAGCTAGAACAAATCACAATTTTTATCGACGAGTTCCTGGGAAAAAAAAAAATAAAATATTACTTTACTAAAAATAAACGAATACAAAATCCAAATATACCGTTCAAAATGTTGAAATGGTAAAATTAATTAAAAATTATGTAAATTTATCATATAAAAACAAAATAATATTCAATACAATTTTGACGCCCTCCAAAATTTGCCGCTCTATACAGCCACATAGTTTGCAGTGCCTTAAATCCACCCCTTTACTTACTCTTCAAAACGACTGAACGATTAAATACATGCAATTAATATACCTACGTATCGATCTGCAACCCACACAGATCGTCATTCGTCAAGGAAATTTCACGAATGACTATATGGTTCGACGGTAGTTATTGGTCAACTGTAAGTCTATAACGAACGACAGACGCTTCATGCCACGAAATATTCTTCAAATTCAAACAAGCGAAATATTATAAAAGTGTAATAGAGGAACGTAAAAATGTATCCAGTTTTTGCAACTAAAAGCATTCCGCTAAGTACAAGACATTTTAGGGTTGTAAATCGGTTGGTGGGTATCAGGAATATAAGTAGGTGATCCTGAAGTTACCGCAATGGTTGGTTATTGATGCGAAACGTTATGTTTTATTCTAACATCACAATAATACAAAATCTTAATCTTTTGGTATTAACAAATTAATCGAATGTACCTACTTATAAATTATATTTTATTAAAATTTATCAATTTTAATTTTTAAATATCATGAATGAAATTGTTTCAATAATAATATCAGGTTCTAATTTAGTAGAATTTAACCAAATAACGGCATGAAGATTTTCATTTGTTATGCGAGATCAAATTTTACGTTTATTGATTTAAATAGTTAAAATTACTTTTTATTTATATTTTAATACATTATTTTAAATGTAAAGAATGTATATATTGTATTTTTTATTTTTTACGTAAATGTAAAATATTATAGATACCCAAATAAATGCTGTAATGTAGAATACTTTTGCGGGCCTGATAATAAATTATGGCGAGCCGTAGTTTGGCTACTGCTGTACTAAAAGAACGCTCAGCAAAAAATAAGTCTAATGTTGAGTACGTAACCGTATAAATTAAACATAATTTACTATATTATACGTTTTAATTGTAATGTAGTTGGGGTGTAACAAAAATATACTTTTGCCCCCCTTGGATTACATCTGAAGAGTCAATTGCACCCTCTACCACCCCTTCTTCAATGCCACTCCTCTCGGAACAGAACGTCGCATCCCCGCTATCGTAAATCTACAACTGATCTCTGACCTCAGTACATTTAAGTAGGTACAATAATAACGTTTAACACAATATAATTAATCAATAAAACAAATTTTCCTCAGTAATAAATAATAATATACAATTCATTACAACAGAATCTATAAACTCTTTATGAAATTGAGAATTTTTGAGCCTCAGCAGCAACAATACACGATAAAACTAAATAAAAGGTGTTATTTTTAGCGATATTTTTATCGTGTTCAAAACAATACCAGCCATTAATAATGTTTCAGAGTTGGACGTAAACTAACATGTATAGTAGCGACTTGTGAGGTTTTCATTTTAAAGTTAAATTCACTTACGAATCGTGTCTTTTATTCAAAATGAAATATAGAGATGGCCGCACGTCGAAAACGTTTACTTCAGTTATGAACCATAACAGGCTCAATGAAGGAGATCAAAATGTTAATATATATAATTCTATTATTTGACTGTATTAAATTTGTTTGTTCTTCCACCTCGGACAGGATTCAGTAACACTATTCTGTCAAAAAAAAAAAAAATTTAAAGTCACAATACATACCAAGCGTATTCAAAGTCCATAAATATAAATACATTTTAATCGAAAATTATAAAACTGTATAACACAATGCAATAAACAACTTAATCGTCTATCAATGTTTTTAATATATAATTACCAATAGGTTTACAATTCCAATTACTGATTGGCTATTTAAAACACCATAAAAGTAGCAACAACAAGATAGATGCTATAAAGCTCATAAAAAATAAAATAACTTAGTACCTACAAGAGAATAAGATAATTAATGTTATTGTCAGTTTAATGTGATAGGTAGTAAGATAAAAAATTTAATTTATTCAGCTAAAAATCCATCTAATAATACATTATAAACTTTTATATATAAATTTTTCTCACAAAAATTGTGAATAAAAGTAACTTCTTAATCAGCATAAATTACGTAAGTATGTTTAGTGTTATTAAAATTCACAGAAAATAATTAGATAGATGAAATTATCAATAAAAATATTAATTAATAAATTATTAATAGGTAACAAGAAATCTTTTTAATGATTTACACAAACATTTTCAATAATAATTAATTTCTAAGTTCAATTAAACTACATCAAACCCTTTAACTTAACAAATAAGATTAGAGTTGATAAAATACAATAATTAAATGTTTGTTGAGTTTACTATTATGGGGTGGGTGAAATGTCACCGTGTAACAGTAATAGTGTACGTAGAACTAAGTCAGAAAAATAAACACTTTCATTTAATGTTATACAAGAAAAGTCAAGAATATTTTTCACACAATAATCGAGATAAATCATTTACTTGGAATCCTCACGGACACCAGGTAAAAGCTATTTTTTGTGAATCTCGTGTTTGAAATAATTGTTTGGTAATCATTTATTATCACTAAGCAAAGCATATTATAGAATACCTCAATTCTAGAAAAGCTAAATTGTATTTCTCCATACACATACCTATTACAAAAAATAATATTATGAATCAAAGTCAAGCAATTGTTTATATTTACCACCAAATTATAAATCGACATTGAAATATTGGTAAAAGAAACCTACTTAATATTCTAGTATTTATATACTAAATGGTTACAAATTTGAAAGGGTACAGAACTTCAAGAACCTAGGCGCAGAGATCAATGAAAATGCTAATAGCCACGAAGAAGTTAAAAAACGACTTATGGCAGTAAATAGATGCTACTATAGTCTAATGCTACTATTCAAATCAAGATTACTATCAATAAAATCTAAAATAACATTATACAAAGTCATAGTCAAACCGGTTGTTCTGTATACATGGGCCACGACAAAATCGGACGAAGGAAAATTAGAAGTTTTTAAAAGAAAGATAATATTAAGGAAAATCTTTGGTCCAAATAGAAATAACGATGGAGAGTATGAAGTGAGAGGAAACGGGGATTTGGATGATCTATACAAGGAACCTACCATTATTGGGTCCCTGAAGAGCACGAGGATAAGTTGAGCGGGACATGTGTGGAGGTCAGAAGGAATGATTGGATTAATAACTAGATGGAAACCCAACACTAAGATACCTAAAGAATGCCCCAGACAAAGATGGGTAGATAGAGTACAAGAAGACTTGAAACTTCTAAACGTAAGAAACGCGGAAAAAAGTACAAATGATAGAGAGGAATGCAAATAATATGTTGTTGCGGCGATGGACCTTAAAGGCTAGTAAAAACCCAGAAAAAAGAAAAGATTTATAAACCCGTAATACTCATTACAAAAAAAAAAAAAATACAAATCTAATTGAATTTTAAACTATCATAAAAAAATATAAATAATACATACTTCAAAAATTTTTACTGGAAACTAGACCAAGATGTTTCAAAGACTTCATGTAAAAATATTAACTGGTGGACAAAACAGTAAAAAAATAAACATTTACGACAAATAGGATAATAATAGATTCACATAAATATAAAATAATCATTTAAGTGTAATATTTGTTCTTAAATGTGTTTATATTTAGATAGGTACAGTAATTTGTAAGAAGCTGATAACCATATTTTAATAACAGTTTATGATTTATGAGGGATTAATAATTAACAATATAATATAACAAAAATAATTATAATGGTGTTTTTATTGTCTGTATGTTTTAATTTTTTTTTTTTTTTTACAACATTCGCTTAAAACGAGCAACAAGTTGTTTACATGATGATATATAATGATTAACAGAAATGTCATTTTTGTGAAGCATATACTAAATTTATATATAAAAAAAAAATATTGATTTTATTAAATATTTACTATTTAGATGTAACTATGTCTATGAATATTAAATATAGTAGGTACTGTACATATACAAAATAAATAGTAATCACTTGGTAATAAAAAAAACCTTGTGATGTACATAAAATATTGAATAAACTTAATCATTGTAACAATTTAATTTCATTAACTTGCATTTACATTTTAAGTGTTTATTATTTATAATATTATTTGTTATTGTAACCATACACATTGCATTTTATCATTCTTAATTTTTTATAAAAATAAAATTATTTCAAATTTATATCAAACGTTAACATAATGATATTACTTTCCTCCAAAGTGAACATCGTTATAATAACAAAAACATATCATGTAACAAAAAGTAATAATAATAGTAATAATAATAATAATAATAATAATAAAAATAAATGAACATATCACAGACAAAAAGACATTTTAACATTTTTAATACACCTAACTTGTTTTTATATTTAAAAAACATAAACAGACTTGTTAAAATACAAGTCTATAAATTTTAAGATGGGTATGCCTTGTATTGTAAAGTGAAGTATTTTAATCAGTAATAACTCATATTCTTGGATAGTAAAACACAAGATCCTATAATATTGTTATTAACACTGTAAAACAACAACTAATAACTATTTAAATCATACCTTAGAAAATAGTTAGTATTACATTCAACTAAAAAAACACAATAGAAGACTACAAAAAAATCATCTTAGGACTTCGGACCATTACAACCACAACTACAAGAAGTTAATAATAATCTTTTGAACAGAAACACTTTTTACTAATACATTAAAATCAAAACAGCAAAATTTATAACTTGTAATTGAAATAACTTCTTTATAACTAAAAAAGACCATATACGAGTATGTTGTGTAAATTATATACATTTTAATATTTTATTACTTAAAAATATTTATGACTAAATTGTATATATGGAAATATTATGTTTCAAATAATTGCGTCTATCAAAATTTATAAAATGTCTCTGCTGATAACTTTTATGCTTGTGCTTTTTGTTCAATCGTCCAAAATGTAAGATTGCAAGATATTTATACAAATATATATATATATATAATCAACTAGGTATATGTCTATTCTACAGAAACACTATTTTAACTATTATGACAGTGTTATAAGAATTAGAAAATAAGGGTCAATAGGTACTTATTTTTACATTTTAACCAAATAAATATATTGTACATAGATATTATTATATACATTTATACATGTTACATATTATACACTAATAAGATAACATAAATATATACAATATATCTATTTGGTTACTATTTTATAAAGTAATATATGTATATGTAAATATACATATACATTCAGTTTTTTTTTTAATTAATTATAGGAATTGAGTTTGGGACAGAAAAAAAATTTAAAGGTATACAAATAACAATAATAATATAATTTTGCTCACTAATCAAGTCATCAATATTTAAAATATAAAGTGAGTAAGAATATAGTTATCGTTTTGAATTTTAAGAAATCTAATATCTGTAGTTATAATATGAATTCTTCTTAAATGTTAATATATTTGCCATAAAACCCGCATAGTTTTTAAAAACAAGATTATTAACAGCTTTGTGCTTTTTAATTTCTATATTTTTTTTCTTTATACATTTTATAATTTAATACAGAACATCAGAAACTAGAAGATTTAACTTGGATACGCAACACTATGCAATTAATAACAAACCTAATTTAAAAACAATTTGTATACATAATAAACTAATGTCTGCCCACAATATACTAGTTTAAACCAGGTAACTCAATACTAACCTAAATTTGCTGACCTTTAGACCCATCATCTCTAACTGTATAATGACTATATATACGTGATCTTGAAGCTACAGGCAAATCACATCGAACGCTAGTTTTTTTTGTAATTTTTTCATTTATTAATGCTGAATTTATTGGAGGAGGAGGAGGAGGTGGTCGATCATCAGAAATGTTTGATTTCTTCATTAATACAAATTTGAAAAATTCATAAGTCGTCCAAGATATAGCTGTTGACGGCATTTGATATAAGACACGAGCTATCATACCTCTGAAAAATCCTCCAGGGCCACCTAAGGTATACACAGTTGTAACTGCACGGAATAAACCTTCAACTCTCACCTAAAAAATATAAAACAATTTAAATGATTATTTTAAGTATGTTATAGCTAGTATATTAAATTGTAAAACTTTGTATAAAAATGATTTATAAAAGATTGACATTCAAATCATTATAACATTAGCCACAAGATACATAAACTAATATATCAAATTAATTTTGAATTTAAAATAAAATAAACAATATAATATAAACTAGTAATCAAGACAAAATTGAATAATAGTAAAATATATTGAACTAATAAACAACTAATTAGTACAAAAAAATTAGACACCCATTAATTGGATAATTAATTTTTCTAATAGCATATTTCTTTGTATAATTTTATAGTCCACATTTATAATAGTAAATAATTAATATTCATGAATATGCTAAAAATAATAACAAAATAACCTATGAACTTGTAATTCTTCTATTCATAGTGTAGTTCTTTGATAACTACTTTGAATAAAAAATAATTTGTATTTCCAATATCATTATTCATTATATTTTTAATTTTAAAACAAAATTTGAATTAAAATAATATATTTAATATAACTACATAAAACATTTTTTTCATAATATCTTATAATTTAAGTATTGTGTAACTATAATATGAGATCACCTACCATTCATTATGATAATTATATAAGTGACTTTTTAACCCAGTTACAAAAAATATATAACCGCACAAACATTCTGATAGCCAATAAGTTAATGTAAAATATTTCAACAGAATAAACTTAAAAATAGATCATACAGAAACATATTTTAAACAATACACATTAATATATAAAAAGAAAATAACAACAAGTATTTCAACAACCAAATATTTTAATACCTTTACACTTATAACAGCTAAAAAAAAGTATTATATTATTCATAAATTCAAGTGGATACTTGTGATATATTCTGAAATGGTGTAGCTGAACTTTGTCACATACACCATTATCATAAAAACATAGAAATAATAAATAGGAAAATGTGTGCTGAGGAAATAATTTTTGATTACACATTTGGCATAATATATTTTTAGTGATTCAAAAAAAAAAATTAAAATACAATTTTGTACTTTTTAAATAAATGAAATTAGATAAAAACAAACTAAATTTTAAAAATTTATAATCGTAATTTGAATATTTGTTAATCAAATTAGAAATTAACAATCAAGTTTGAAAAATGTACTGTTATATGCAAAATAGAAAAATTGGTTTAAAATCTATACTGTTGATTAAAATTATATTTATTATTAATTCTGATTATTAAAAAAAATGTGAATAATATTTATAACACGTAATTTCAGTTTTTTATATATAATTATAGACAAAATATATTTTTATTAATTAAAAAATTATAATACTAAATTTAAATAGTTTATAGTGTTTTTACATTAACCAAATATTTACAATAAAGTTACTTATTTTTATTTTGGAATATAAATTTGAATCTTATAATGCCAATAATGTGTCTAAAATTTTGTTATTACTTAATTAAAAATTATAAATGGAAAGTAAATAATAAAAGTCAGGTTTTTCAACTATTTTTAAATTCAAAATATAATACTTAGGTATATTTAAAAAAAAAATAAATACTGATTTAGTTATTTAAGTTATCTTTGAAACAAAATCTTAACAGAAAAATAAGGTTATTTATATAGTTTATATAAAAAAAATTATTAACAAATCAATATTACAAAAACAGAATTTCTATCTAGTTACCTATGAAATAAGATCCAATCATGAAAGTATATTGATTACATTACTTTCATAAAAATTATAAATTACAGTATTGAGCTTTAAAAATAGTACATCTTATACAGGTACACTATTATATAGAACATTTATAATGGGCAAATTCGCCATTTAAATTGGCCATCTGCCATTAAACCTATTGAATGGTCAAGTTTGACAATTAAAACATGACAAGTTTAAGAGTTAATATTGTAGAACACTTGTTTGAAAACGTATCTATCCATTATGGATACAACACACATTTCATGTTTTTTATGCATATTTTTACAAAAATTTAACTTTTATTTTTATAACTTTATAACTTTTTATACATATATACAATATTAGGTATAGATGAATATTTTAAAATTTATTTCAGAACAAAAATTGTTTAAAAAATATTTTTTAATTATCTATTAAAACTATGATGTTTTATATTTATTTTAAGAAGTACCTCCCTTTAAGAATAATGTTTTATGCAAATAAAATAATTTGTCATTCAAATATTAGAATTAAAAGTAAATAAATATTTATTTACAAATGAAATAATTCAAAATTCAAATCTTATTTCTAATTTTAATAAATTTTGTTTTCAATGTTATTAAGTAATAAAACTAACTAAACATATGCATTCACATCAGAATTATAACTTAACATACGCAAAATGAAAATAATTTAAATAATTTATAGATAATGTAAATATTCAAGTATAAAGAATATTTATTATAGTAAAAAAATTTTTCTTACATAACTATAATGAATATTAATGTGAAAATATTTAACTAAATATATTTTTAAGCAATTTTAAATAATAATGCTTTTATACTATTAACTACAATTTAAAATTTTGTAAGATCATTTTTTACCGAAACAAAAACTTGCCATCTATAATAATTATTCTTTAATTTTTAGTTTTAGAACTCAAAAATCACATTAAAAACTCTATGTACAAGTATTTTTAGATAAAAAAAAAAAAAACATCAACTAATGGTAAGATTTTACTTATTTTTATTAATAATGAATATCTCAATACGTTTAATTTAGTACATTTTGATGAATGAAAAATAAAATTATTTAGATTGTTTAAAACTCATAATTCAAAAATAACCTATTTATTATCATTTCTTTAATTTGTCATTATAAATAATTCTAAATTATATTTTTTATAAAATTATTTTTAAGTACTTAAATTTCCATTTCCCTTAGATATGATATTAAAAATATACTAACTCATTTTCAATACAGTTTGACTTCAAAGTGTTATATATAAATATAATTTTGAAATAAAATGTAAATAAATATTAAGTTAAAATAATTTAATTTTAATCTAATAAAAAAATGTGTTTATCTATTTTTCACTTTAAATTAAATATTATTGTATTTATCAAATGTAAAATATTAAATTAGTTTATAATATTACTTATATAACCACAATCAAATGAATTTAAGTATAACAATTGGTCTAAATAAATCAATAACAAAATGTTTACTATCAACAATAGAAATCTAACCTTGTATACATGACAACATTAAATAGTTCAATACTTGACATATATTACATTCAAGCAGAATTTAAATATTATTCATCAAAAATCTATTTTTTCAAGAATAAATCAAATCTTTAGTTTATATACTGATTTGTACATGTTTATAATAAAATGTTCATACCAAAATCATAATTTATTTTCTTAAATGTTAGCTTTATTAAATTTAAATTAGAATTAAATTACAAATGGATATTGTAATTATGATTGATGGCATATATTAACATAGGTTAAATTCTGTTGTATTACTGACCTAGTAACATAACATATTAATGGATAAAATACTCGTTAAAAACTATGAAAATTATTCTAAAAAATTTGTTTTTTACTTACATTTGTGGTTTGAGTGTTTAACAAAGTCTTGCATACATCTAATGGTGTTGTTATGGCAGCTGCAAGCCCACCAGCAACACCTCCTGATATCATATGATATAAAGGATTGTATATCCTATCTGGATTCAAAAAATTTTGACAATACTCATATGTCATGAAATGAACAATTTGAAATGGTGCATTCATGAACAATTGTACCATGTATGAACGATAGAATGCTCCTAATCCTTCAGTTCGCCAAATCGAACTCACACAATTTAAAATACCATTGTATGGTGAATTTGACATTTGCAAACGTTGTTTAACAACTAATCAAGAAAACAAATGTTTTAAAACAAAATAAAATAAAATAGGCAATGCTTTTTTTACCATCTGTTGGAGTCATAATTGCATCATGTATGATAGTTGAAACACAACCAGCTACACCTGAAGAAACTGTCGTATTTAAAGGAGTTTGATGAGAAATTTTTTGCTTCAAATGTTCATAAGATGCAAAGTAGAGAGCATGGGCAGGACCAGCACCTATAATAACCGTTCCCATTCCGCGCATTGGTCTTAAATATCCTTCATGCTTTATCATATTGAAAAGGACAGTTCCAATTCCTCGATTCCCTACATTTCCAGATGGCATGAATGCCTGCAGCCGAGTCTAAAATAACAAAGAAAAATTGATTAAAGTTCAATAGATAAAATCAACCAAATAATTAATTTAATTGTTAATTAATTAAAAATGGAAAATAAACTAGCAGGTTATCTTTCATAAACATAAATTACCTTAACAGACTTTAAAGTTCACAATATATACCTTCCTAATAATACAAAAGATAAATGAAATACAAATTCTAGGTTAAATTTGAAATTAGTTTAAATTCAAATTTTAATGAAAATAAACTGAAAATTAAAACTAATGTAAGCATTTAAAAATTAATTTTATAACCAACCTAACTAATAATTCTAATAAGTTATGAATAACTTAAATAATACTTTAATAACCTTATATATACATAACCTACATTAATTTTATATTTACATTTTCATTAAAATATACAGGAAAAAAATTAAGTATACCATATAACATATTATGTACCTATTATAATAAGAATAATCAAAATTTGTTAACAAAAATAAATTAGTACACCTAAAAGATTAAGGTTAAGAAATAATAATCAATCTAAACTAAAACTAGAGCTAATGAACCATCAACGGATATTATATACATAGTAAGGTTTTAAAAATTAATATTTTTAAAAGATGTACCCAATTACTGAACTGCAAGTATTAATGTCTTAATAAATCTTGAGGTAATATGATTATCGATAAATACACAGTACACATTTATACAAATTATATTAATATTTTATTCCACAAATTCCATACTTTCTAAAATATATGAATATACACATGCTAACATACACTTACCTTTACAGAATCCAAAGGATACATTACACAATGTTCCATAATTCCTGCAATGGCACCAGCCATCATGTGATCAGTCACATTAGATGATGGTATGGTTTCATATTCATCAAAACTCATAATAAATTAATTAATTATGAACTAATAAATAATTATATTTATTTCTGAATAGGCGAACTGCCGAACTGCCTGCAAAACTTGGTTTAGTGAAAGTGAACTAAGTGAAGTCGCTCGAATATTTTTGCCCCGAGGATAGTGTTATGTGCCATGAACTTGAAGTTAGTAATGCAATTTTGACGATTGATTATAACGGGTTCCCAAAATGTGATACCGCTTTACACAACGAAAGTTGTGAAGTCTACACAAAATAACGTCAAGGCGCACCTTTAAAATACAATTTTAAATTATGTTAATGTATAATACAATTCTAACAAAATAACGTAAATAATAAAACATATACATTTTATCATTATTATCTAATTTGTAAACAAAATTAAATTATAATATATGAACCATATACAATTTAAATAATTAATAAAAGCATAACATAAAATTTTTTAATCATATGTGACGTAATAATTTACTTAGCTAACGATTAATCAATAATTTCATAAGTGGAGATGAATAATTTTTAATTATTTATATCATTTGAATAATTATTGAGAAATCGTATTGACGATACATACTAGTATTATACCTTATTTATTAATATCAATGATGGTTATATTATATTATGCAAACTGTGAAGTATAAGTTATTTTACTCATTAGTTATTACTAAACCATAAAACACGATACTCGGATTGCTAAAGTGCCATTACCCATTAGTCATTAGTATTAAAGCCCAAAAACCGAGTGTTGATTAAAATATTAAAATTAAAAATATTATCATTTATTTATATGGTATAGGCCTGTTATCACACGAGTATTGCCATAGAATGTAATGTTCGTGACTTACAAAAAAAAGGAAGAAATATTGAACACTTGTTATCTATTATTTTATTAACACGGTTGGCGGTTATAACTTTATAATCACGATCAAAGAAGTGACTAAAATGTAGATACTAGATTGTAAGTACACGTGCGACGTTCACCGGTTCTAGGTGCTAGTACATGACGTTTCTATTATTTATTATTGATATGCCCAGATCCCCCTCCCTTTCCCATCCAATAACTTCTTGTCAATTTAATCATTGTAGTTTGTACTTTGTACTGTTTGTAGTGTTCTAGTTTTTCTACCTTTGAGTTCAGTTATAGTGCGATGCAGAAATGGCCAAAAAGTCGCTGTATGCTTACAAAACCGTATGTCATCGTAATATGATCGATGGAGATTCCGTTGAACGTAAAAAACATTTATATTACATTTAATCCGCCGTGGAAATGTCGCAGAATTGAAATAAAAGTGTCTAAATTAAGAAAAAAAAAAAAACTACAAGCTAATAATGCGGCGAACGAACACGGATGAGAGTAAGAAAAAAAATAAACAGTTTAAGATGTGTGTACTACCTATAACCTGGCAGTGACGGGTGACTAAACAGTGTTAAAGTTTTAAGAATTTATGAAGCATTGATATTTTGATGATGGTGTGGCCGTGACGGTCGATTGGTAGAACAACATCGATAGTTTGAACTATCGTATACCGTAAATATATTTCTCAAAACGCTATCAAACGTTTACGATAGGTAACCGCCAACCGGTAAATCAACAAAACTAGAAAAGTAGATCACGGCGAGAACTGAAAATATCGTACATTATAATTGTTTTGAACGATAAGTCGGTGCTGGCTAAAAATGTGAAAGTTCTGTCAGTCCTATGAGCAGCAGTGCGCCTGTAGTACAAGTCTCGGTCGTCAAAAAAAAAAAAAAGAAACAATCGATATGCCCACTATTCAAATAATCGCATTGATATCAATTTTGTGGTGTGGCAACAGAATGATAATGACATGCATTTGCGCGTCATTCGTAATTTACTATTTATGCCCTTCGGCGGCAAGTTTACCCGCCGCCGACTGTTATGTAGGGCGATTATGTAGTGAACAGTGAACAAAATAATTATTATGATTATCATGGCGTTATATAAAACAATGTCATGATTCTAGAAACGTTATTAGTCTATTGGTTATGTGGCATACTGGCACAAGCTGAAAATAATAAATAATACGTTTTACCGTGCCAGCTGATTTTAATTGCACCGAGCCACCGAGGACACCTTATCGCAGATTGGTGGTCGTCAAATCGTCTGAGATTAGAGGTTGCGCGGTGTACAACTTGCACTACCGTTTGAACTGCACACGGCACGTCTTGATATCGCTACAATCGTCGAATATTATTTAATATTTTCCCCGTACGCCGAGATGGATTTATTTCCGCATTACATGAGCATTACGCACATAATAATACATTATGATATAAAATTGAACACAGCCTGTTAACGGTAATTGGCAAGTAGATAATAAAAAGCCAATGATAGTTAAATAGGTACTAAAATGTGTTTTCTTTTTTTTAATTGTGTAAATATTTTTATTTTTGACATTAACTTACTAACTTTTCATTCTGCACCATGAGATCGAATTAAAATTCATATTAAATTCAACTTCAGATGAAGTGATTCTCATTTTCCTCCAAATATATTTAAATGTTTTTTAAATAAGTATAAAATACTCAAGAAAAGTCAATTTTCCATATTATAATAAATTTTGTAGTTCGATTATCTATAAATAGATAGGTTACCGTAGTCTTGGGTGTATAATAATATAAGGTAAATTTTCCAAATTTTCCTATGAACAATATTTTTGAATAACTAAAAATCTAATTTTGTTACAAATAAACTACCTCTATAAAAAAAAAAATGTTTGAAATTATAATCAACATTTTCATAATATTTGTTAGCCCTACTTATATGAATTCTTGCATGTATTGTTTTTTTAAATAAAGCATAAATATTTTGATTGATACATATAATGAAATATTATTATTAAATTTCAAAAAAAGTCGAAATATTTTAAAAATTATACTATTTATATGATATATATATATATATATATTAGTAATATAAACATAGGTGAAATTTCAAGTTTCTATGGTTATTTGTTTTTGAATTATTCACAACAAAATCGATTCTGTCAAAACATATTTTTGCTTAAAAATTCTTGTTTTCCCTAGTTTTTATATAAATATATAATTATTAAGAAATACTGTGTATTTTTAACTTTTGATTCGCCAAAATACCAACTAGATTTACTTTACTACCAGAAAATGTTTTGAAATATGAAGTAAGAGATTAAAAATGTTCTTCCTATAAAAAAATGTCTTCAGGTATAAAATAAAATAGTTTAAAAATTACACACATAATTGCAAAATTAATACAATATTACAGTCATTGCTCAAAAACAACAGAAACTATAAGTATCTATAATTATTGTATATTTGGCTGGGCCTTTTTAACAAATTCCTGGGTATGCAAATGATTGTACGAAAAAAGTGATAAAGCATTATAATCGTTACGTCGTACCTACCATTGTTTTTTTACTTAATTTCCTGGTGACACATCATACACTGACTCATTTAAAATACAATTTGAATAGGACATTTTTGAAAAGGTTACTAAGAAACAAAATTAATACATTTAAATAATGTATCTTCCGGTTGTACAACATAAACTGATGCACTATGAACTCTGGCTATATAATAATATTTTGTATTATATCTATAAAATTTTAGAAATAATTAAAAAAAAATTTAAATTACATTGTTAATTGAATATTTTCGCTCGTTAATTTACTCGTGAGACATCACAATCGTGGAAATTTTTAATTCGCAAATTAAAATGACAATTTACAACAAAGTTTGTTCAATTTAAACGCCTATAAAAGGTACACCTACGCTTTTGGCTTATAGGTTACTGCAGTGTAGTTGTTTACTCATTATTAATTAATTGTCTGTTTACTATTATTCGTTACAATGAAAAACGTGTTAGAATAGATTCTTTTTATTGTCATTGTTTTGGTAAAACATTTTGATATCTAGGTATATTTATTTAGTTCATACTATAGACTATGGACACCATCATAGTTGAAAATACCATAATTAGGTGCAATTCACATACCTACATAGGTATAACTCTAGATATATGTATCGTGTATGGTAGATACTAGATAGTAATTACAACAATATAAGTGTAGAATAAGTACTACCATGAACAATAGAGTACCTACGTACATTGTTTTATGTAGTTTATATACTTATTACTCAAATTTTATTCTAATTTTATTCTACTTTTATGTCCATGTACAATACTATGATAACACTATTGAATATAAATTTTTTAAGAGATAATTTCCATGAAAAATTAGCATGTTCATTTGAGCTATGAAACTATATTGAATAATAACTAATGAATATAACGATCAATATTATATTTTCATTAATAATAAAAATATTTTATCATAATATACTTACATTCAAAGACAATACACCTTTAATAATAATTATTTACTGCTATTATTTGTATTTTTTCATATAGGTAGACACAGGAGACAAATAGGGAGGAACTTTGTATTTGAATTTTAACCTTTTCATACAGCAAATTTTCATAATCGTAATTTACTATAAAAAAAGTTTTTGGAAAAGATAATTAAAAAAAAAAATACATAATAGCTAGTAAACCATGCTAACATTATCGATTTGTGCAGAATCTAAAAAGTACAAAAATGATTATGTTTAAAATTAATAATAATATAATATAATATAATATCATAGTATAATTTCATATCAATTTCTCATTTACACGTATTTTTATATAATTATGAATATATATATATATATATACAATACAGGTAAATAAACCAACATGCTATAATTTATTAAATTTATTTAATAATCTTGTCTCGATCATAATATACCTTTGCAAAGGTACATGATGAATTTTAAATAAATAACGTACAAATATTATTTCAATTAAACAATAAGCTAAGTGGTCTATTATTAAGTGGTTATACCATTCTATGACTTATACTTGTTAAATAATTTCCATCGGTTCCAATTAATGTTCAAAAAACTGCCAACTATAAAAATATTAAATGAAAATAATTATTCCAACTTTATTAAACAATGTACCCACAAAAGAATCTGTTAACAATTTATACAATTAACCTATTTGTCTTGACTAATATTAAATGTATTCTCATAAATAACCCATGTAACACATTGAGTATATGGATATGAAGTTATTGATCCAGGGTATGCATAATAATAATAATCTTTAGCTACATCCATTAACTAATAAAAGTGAGTATTAAATGTTGAAATATTACTATATCTGGTATTTTAAACGGATTGCACAGCTGTGATAAAATTACTCATTTCTGGATTGTCTTGATCTGATAACTATAAATATTAAATACAATGTTAAACGTAAATATTTTTAATTTTAATAACTTTCTCAAATAAAAGTCTAATTCAAAACAATATAATAGCATTTTAAATTCAGCCTAAAGGACCCTGGTTATTTAAATTTGAAATATAGAAGCTTCTTAGATCTCTCCATCACTAATTTACAATGTCTAACAATAACAAAAATTAAGCTAGAGGTGATCCCATTTACCCGCATAAAATCATAACTAAGCCACTATAATTCAAACCTCTTTTAATTTTTTTATTTAAAAGAAAATTGTGCGATATTACAACGTATAAGAATGTTTTATTATTCAACATGAGCCAAATTAGTATTTCATGCAATAATAAATATTTAGATTAGAGTAGACTGTATGGTTCATAAAAAAATGTCTTACGATATTTTTATAAACTTAAATTGTATAATATACAGACTAGACTGAGAAGTCTATTCTTACTATCACACGTCACTTACTTATTTACACTCAAATACTTAGATACTTACTAATTTTAATTGTAGGTAATACAATATTACTTATCACTCTTTTGATAAAATAATTTTAATACTCACTACACATGATGCCATTGTTTACTATAAATTCTGGCATTTATAAATAATTATCAATTAGATATATTAGGTACGCAATCAATAATTAAAAAAAAAATACTTGCCAAATTTAAATTCAACTACTACAACTCTTACACAATCTTACTAACAACAACTGATGATTCGCTATGAAAAACAACTCAGAAAATCTTAAACTACAAATCACTTTCTTACCCTTAAAAAATAAAAACGAAATCTGAGCTATTAATCTTATGCAAGAACGTCCAATACAAATTAATAATGTCTCGCACCTTTAATGACCTAGAAAAAGACCAATTCAGAGAACAAACCCTTTTATCTCTATTTCCAATAGGTATTTAATTTTTTTTTTTTTATATTATCTACTTCTTAGACCAACAAATTCTTAATAATAGCCCCGTCATTTACAATATTTATTGCTGCCAAAAACCTTACCGACTTTCTAAACAAACAATCCGTCTATTATTTTAAAAAAACGCTTAAAATTTAATGAGTATAAATTAATCAACGTTACCTTTTCTTTAAAACAAATATTTTACCTAAAT